GGTTTGATATACAGATTTTAAACCATGTTGGATCCCATAATACAATTGTAATAAAATGGCCCTCCTAAATTTGTATGGGGTACTTTACCTAAATAAGACTAAAATATAATGACTTATTGACTTAATCGTCTAAGTCGATTAATCTCATTAAATTTTTTTAATGACTAATATAATCTCATTAATTTTTTTTTATCTAAACACCAAGTTAATCGTCTAAGTCGATTCAAATGTCAATTCCAAGTTAGTCTACAAAGATATCAATTATAAGTCCAGTTTTGGAGAGTCTGTCATATCAATGAGACAATGACTTTGAAAGAAGCTCCACCAACATATAAAAGTCTCATATTCATACAATTAATTTCACAAAATTTAAATAAAATACACGAAAAATCGCATATAATTTCCTCGTCTCAAATTACACTTCGCGCTCCTCTATTTTGTTTTGGGAACAAAAATTGTGTCTTCTACAATCTACAGAGTAACATTTTTTCCAGTACTAAACCAATTTCATCGATTCGTTTTAAAAAATTTTCTAAATGTACAATTAATTTTGGGGGAGGGGGGGGGGGGGGGGGAATATACATATGCCAATGGGTTGCAATGTTTTTAGGACCACATAGGAGACACAAGAGGAGCAAAAACAGAGCCATGGGACTGTGCATCTTCTGTTTCACTACTTGTCCCCAGGGTCCATAGACATGCATTTCTTCTACTGTGTTAGATCCACATATTGATCATTCACAAAAAATGTGGTCTAATTTCTGCCTTTTTATGGAAAGAGTTGTGTCGGAAACATACCCGCCTTGCTCCCAACTTCGACGATTGCCTGTGAATTCGTGCACGCAGACGATAGAGTTGTCTGTGCACACATTATACGCAGATAATTGTATCGTGTTTGTGTATATAATTTTACAAACGATTGTCAAATTCGGGGCAAACACGACGTTATTTCAGCGTTAATCATTCTTGATAATCTTATAATGATGTTAATTCATTCTGAATAAAGTAAATTTAGACGTTGTCATTTGATAGTTTTTTTTCACTGTACTGAAATTGTTCTTCTCAGTTAGTAATAACTTGATTGACAAAAAAAATCCAGTAAAAATTAATCTATGGATTAGACATGATAAGAGGGATCCAAAATCTTTTTATAATAAGCATTTGTGGTGAACCACAAAAGGCCAGCAACCTTAATACACACGAAAAAGGAAAAAATAAAACACCAATTTCGTACCAATTGGTACCTGTACGGTCGTCCCCAAATCCAACGTGTGCCACCCCCCCCCCCCCAACAACAACAATAGCAAAAGATGTTTTTTCTCTAATTTTTTTATATACTTGAATTTAACATAAATGATTCCCCTATGTTTTAATTTGTTGGGTTTGTTTTAGTTTTGATACATAATAATTTACTGTATTTTGTACTATGTATATAATAAAAATATGTGCCAGGGTGACTTTTAGAGCAATTGTACGATAAGTAACCTCTTGAAAATTATTCAAGATGTGCACGAAAATGCGCGGGAAAATGTGTGTTAGTTTGTGACAATCTCAGGAGTAGTCACTTCTAGCCCATACGGCCGGGTGTTACAAAAACACGAAAGATTTTTCTCATCAACATTTAACACTATTACAATTATTCAAAATCTAATTTTTATACTACAAATTCCAAATTTCAGGTTACGTTTTACATCTGTCTCCATAATTCAAGATTAAGTTAAAAGAACTACTATACATATTGCAGGGAGTATTTAGATCCTAAATTCTAGTTAGGAATAAGAAAAAAAACATACTCCATACATATTTTTGGGGTATCATCCTCTCATGGCCCAAAGTCTAAACGGACCCATTTTTTATACTATACTCCATTCGGTTCGATTCTATGGCCACTCACTTTGAGTGGCACGGAGGACACTGTCTTAACTAGGACACTTATGATACTCCATCCTCAAAATTGATACTTCGTAGTTTTTACCATCTAACCTCCCCAGTAAATCTCCACCCAGTCTCGACCCCAACCTATCCCCCATCCACATCAATTGCATTTCGCAAGTTTAATTGACTCTAAAGTCATTTATTTTTTTTACCTCAAAGTCAACTAAACTTGCAGATTGTAATTCATGTGGGTGAGAAGATGACTTGGAGCCGGGACCTTGTGTGAGGTTTATCAAGGGGCGGTGGGTTAAGTGGGTATGCACTATCAATTTTACGAACGGAACATCTAGAGAGATAATATAGTCTTCCGTGGTCACTCAAAGTGAGCAGCCATATAACCTATGTGTATTTCATTTGTCATGCAATTAGTTTTACGCTTTGTTTATAAAGTTTCAAAACTTTGTCTCAAAGTGATTAATATGAAAAAATGAGAATTTGTCTAAAAGAAAGACAAAATGTTATGAGACATATAGGGTGTTGCTAAATTCACTTGAAAAATGACTATATTCAAACCTTACGCCTAATTTTTCTAAATTTGCACCAATATTGAATTTATATTAATCGATATTAAACTTATATTAGCAGGTGTGGATTTAGTAAAATTAGGTAAAACATATTGATATAGCTATTTAAATAGTGAATTAAGCAACACCTAAAAATATATTCGTTAAAATAAAAAAAAGTTTAAATAAAACTTTGTAGCATTAAAATTAATAAGAAATCAAATAAAAATTTTAGTTTAGGACGAAGAGAGTATAATATTATTGATTGATTGATTTATTTATTATTTGGTTAACTTCTCTAGTCTTTAGAGCACTGACAATGACAAGACAAAAATGAAATACCACACGGTGACATGGATTATTTCAACCAATAAAAAGTAACCCAGTCACCGTGTGGCAAATGAATGGAGTGTCGTAACATACAGTGGCAAGTCGTTGTTTTTGTTTATTTTTGCACTTTTTAATGATCTTTAATTATAAAAAATTATTTTAAAAATATATTTTATTATTAAAACATGTTTACTTCTTTTAAAAAATATTTTTTTCAAAAAATTACAAATATTAAAAATATTTATAAAAATAAAAAATGAGAGAGTCATGTCATGCACATGGAATGGAAAGTGGGGTGAAATGGTCATGGAATGTCATGATTTGAGTGAAATTTGCTGACATGTCATGACATGGCAAGGTATTGCCTTGCCATTGTGAATGCTCTTATAACTTTTAAGTAAAATCATATACTCCGCATTTATATAATAAAAAGTCACATGCCAAAGACCTTGTGGTCCAATGACATCTTGATGACATTTTCAAACGGAAGGTTACATGCTTTAAATCCAGTACGATAGTAATTCCATATACATTTGTAATTAAGTTAAAAATGTTTGAATAAATATTTATATTAGCATAGAATTATAAGTATTCAAATACAAAAAGCCACATGGATGGAGAAATGGATTGTTTCTACCATTTTATCCATTCAACAAATAATCATCACAGTATGAGAGAAATGGTCAAAACTAAAGAGCGAAAAAATCACCGTGAGAAACGGTATTAGTTAAGTCCGTATTTTATTGCTTGGAGACGGGAAGGAGTCCCATCTGTTTGAATTTGGTAGGGGCGTCGTTAACGGCACGGCGCAAATTTAATTTATTTTTTTACACAAATCGTACCACACACTTCATTTGTTGCATTTTAATTGCTGACTTTGCCACAAAAAGTAAACAAACACATAACAGAGAATTGCATTAGTCATCCATTATGAAAGTGAGACATATATGCCTCAAAGATATGAGAGGAAGGGCAAAGAAGGCTGAACTTCTATTCAACGACGTAATGAACTAGAAAGATTTGAAAGAAATTGGAAGAAATTTATAAAAGTAAAAACAAGTTGAAAAATCCTGAAGTGGAGAGATTTGAAAAAATGTTGAACGTAAAGAGTTGAGACAGGTGAGTACAATTGGCCTGTTTGGGAATGACGTTAGCGATTAGCGTTAACGTTTTGAAAAGGCTATCTACGGGCAGCGTTTAGCGTTAGCGTTTTCAAAGTAATCTGTACCGTTAAGATTTTATTCGAAACGCTAACGTTAATCTCTAACGTTATTCCCAAACAGGCCTAGTATATTGTTTTGAAATTTTCTTCTCTTTCACTTTTTTAGTATTTTCCTAATTTACTTCTTATGTAATGTAAATGTTTATAGGTTTGCCTTCTTTCATGTACTTTAATGGACAAGAAGTGTGCATTATTTTTTCAGTTATAATTATGTCAAATCAAAATGGGAAGAAAAATACAGAAGTTAAATCTAATATCTAGAGACTCCAAAACCTTTTTTCAGTCTTTAATGAAATATAAACATATTTCAATATGGAAGTTAAATCTACCATGTTAGAAGTAAAAACATTGAAAAAGTATCAATATCTAAAAATTTTATGTTTTAACTCCAAAATAAGACTACTGTTCTGCAACAATTTGACACTGGATGTTAGTATTCCATATAGTGAAAAGGTGGAAGTAGGTGTAATCAAAGTATTCTAACAAAGCAAAAATGAGATAGTTCTGGAATCTATAAAAACAAATTTCACTCTTTACTCCTAATCTGCGATTAAAATCCTATTTACATCTTCTCAGTGACCGTCCAGCCGGGTCTGAGGGGGCCCTCGGGGATGAGGCTCATCCTTTTTTTATAAAAAAATAATGAGATGAGTGATCACATTTGAAATAAACATACACGAAAAGACCTAGAAAGATGCTTGTTAGTAAATGGTGACGATGTAGACGAAGACAATATGGGCGGTCGTTGAGTAGAGAATATCAAAACCCCGTATTATAACTCCCAAATTTGAAGTATCATATCACCCTAAATTATAAGAGTCATGATAATGTATCCAAATATTATTTAAGTTTTACCAAACACCACAAAAAATTACACTTTCTTTAATATTTAGAGAGTCCTGAAATAATGAATGTCAGCGACATACAAGGAACGGTCGATGACAACAGGGACAACGAGTGGCAGCTGAATGAAATGTCCAAACCTGAAATTAATGTTTTCCAAATTCGAAAGATATCAGGACATTTCATTTACGCTCAACGGCTAAACTTCACCCAATATTCACAAAAAAAGGCACCCTTTGATTGTTTCTCTTTATATCCTACCAAACATGCTAAAAGAGACTAGTAAGAAATAGATATGAGAGGGTATTATTTTATACTATTAGTCTTTTTAGTATTTTTCATAAAGATGGCCTACATTGGCTACATTCTTTATAGTTTAGAGGCAAAACAAAAAGAGGATAAACCATCCTTTAAAAAAAGAGAGAAAAAAAAGAGAGGCAAAAGGTGTATTTGTATTTTATTTGTACACTCTTTAGAACTTTTGTTGGACCAAAATGCCAAAACTCCCATCAAAATTGATTTGCCCACTGATTATGCAAAATGCAAACACCTCTCCTCCTTCTTCTTCTCCCCTCCATGCTTCCATACCCAGCTTTTCTTCTCCCTGAAATTCAAGAATCACAAATTTATTAATACCCAGATTAAATACGTTTTGAAATTTTAATGAATTTTTATTTTCAATTAAGAAAAAAAAATTGAAATTTTGAATTTGAATTTTGAGAGCTGGAAATAGCTGGAAAACCTACTCCAACAAGAATTTCTCCACAATCTTCATGCTTGGTTGCACCACCTGTTTCTCCCAAATCTCGGCGGTTTCCGACTTCGATTCAGAACCCATCGCCGCCGCGAAAGCCGCACTGGAGTTTATCCTGTGTAGGTCCCACCCGCATCTCTCTCTGAGCCGTTGGATCTTCCACTGTTGCCTCGCCGCCAGCACCCGGGTGTTGGCTTTGATTTCCCCCACCGCCGCGGCGTACAGCCGCCGCTGTGTTTCCTCGTCGCCGGAGTGCTGGAAATAGGCGGCGAACTCGGGAACGCCGATCGCCTTCGCCAGTCCCGTTCGGGGTTTCGGGTTTCCCGGATCGGAGTACCACCGGGAGAGCTCCTCCAGCATGCCGGAGTCCATCATCTCGTCGACACGCCGGTCGAGGTATTGGTTCAGTACCGGCGGCGATACGTCCACCCAGAGGAAGCAACAGTCGTAGCGAAGTTCCCGGCAGACCGAGTCAACCGGGTTAGACTCGCCGAACACGTCAGAATCCGGGTCGAACCGCTTCGCCAGCAGAGCGTAGACGAAGGAGTTTGACCCGCCGACGACGAACGGGGTTTTTCCACGGCTTATAATGTCGGAGATCCTTTCGCCGGCGACAGCGCGGAAATCCGACGGAGAGAACTCCGGGTGCGACTCGGAGGGGTCGAACTCGTCGAGGAGGTGGTGGCGGACGCCGCGGCGGTCCTGCATTGCCATTTTATTGGTGGTAATATCCAAGCCGCGGTACACCTGAATCTTATCGGAGTTGATCACCTCCGCCGATGTGAAGTACCTGGTGGCGAGGTCTATCGACGCCCTGGATTTCCCGGACCCGGTTGCGCCCAAAACCACCACCACCTTCTCCTTCTCTCTCTCCGCCACGCCAAAGGCGGCGGACACGGACGCCCGGCGGGCCCACTTGACGCCCGGCCTGCGGCAACCCCGTACGGACTGAGCAATCCCGGTCGCCGGCGGCGAAACAAACGACGAGAGCAATTTCATGGTTTTCAAATTTCAAGAACCCGAAGGCGATGCCTCGGCGACGATGACGGCGGTGCACGGCGGTTAATGGCGGCCTTCTGTCGATCCAAATGATGATATCACAGCATGTAATCTGTACATGTCAGTGGGGGCCAGGGTAGGGGTGGGGGTATAATACACACTATAGTACAGTCGTGGGGTGGGGACTGTAAAACGGGTCGGGTTCCGTTTGGTTTGTTTTTGGAGAAAATTCTCTCTCTGAATTTATAAATGCCCTTTGTCTCTATTTTATTTACTCCCCTAGAGTCAATTCGATTTATGAATCCCAAACAGCATCGAGATTGAGGGAGAAAGTTGGAAATGGAGAACGAAATTTAGTGCAAAATTTAAGTAAGGGATAGAGAGAGATATATCTATATGTTGGTATATAGAGATATATAGATATATAGAGAGAGAGAGAGGGGAGGGAGATGAAGGATGGGGGTAATGTTGGATGGGAAAAACTTGCATATATATAGAGGGGGAGCTTGGGTGACAACATTGGGGATTTGGGGGTATGTTCTACTGCTTGGTTTATTTGTGGGCTCCATGTGATGTTTTTATTTCTTTTTTTTATTTATTTCTCAAAATATAGATACTACGACTTAATAAAGTTTAATCACATAGATTAAAACAAGGTAATTTTTCTAAATAGGACTAAAATATAATAATTTTCTCAATATAGGACCGTATTTTTTTATTTTCCAATGTAGGACCATTGGTCATTACCTATTAGTCATTATTCAACTAAATGTCCAGCATCATTTGGACATTATTCTTCTCACTAGTCATTATTAAGTCCTATTTAGAGAATGAAAAAGTTTAAATCTTATATTGGAAAATGACCTATGTTTTAGTCCTATTTAGTCAAATTTTTTCTTTCTAAAACAATTAATTTTACGAATGTGGCAGCACAGATGTCTCAAAATTCCAGAAGCACCTTAGTGGAGTGACCATGGAACTGTGACCTATCCATATTGGTTTATTGTATTACTAATATAATGCTACATGTGTCCAATATTATTTGTCCAGTTTTGAATTTTTAAAGTTAAAATTCATAAACTTTTACCATTAATTAAATAAGATTTACATTAAATATTAATACAAGAATAATTTCATTAGATTTTTCTTATCAAATATTTTTAAAATAATGTTGTATCTAAATAATACGATATACTATCTCCGTTCTTGAAAACACTTCCACCCTAATTTTTTACGCACCCCATAAAATATTTTTACTTTTACATAAAATGTCTAAAATACATCTCATTATGTAGTTTATTGCCGGTAGAAGTTTTTAGAGGTATTTAGACATTTTAGGTAGAGTAGAAGTATTTTATAAAGTGCGCAAAAAATTATGACGGAAGTTTTTCAAGAACGGGGGAGTACTTTTTTAACATTTAGATGTAAAAAGAAGAAAACAATTATTATCTTTGATAAATAAATGTACAAATAGAAGATGGGAATTAATAGTGGCTGCATGAAGAAGATTAGGTAATTGAAAAATGTGGTGAGGGGTGGCTAGAGTACCTGAGTCTGTTTGGTCAATTTAGAAAGTATTACCTCCCGTAGTGGTAATAGAATTGGTACCTTGATATGGAGAGGAGTGTTGCAGCTTAGAGAAGTTAGAAGTGACATGGGCGTTTGCTCTAGTATCGAGATGCTAGTTCGGATTTGGTTTAGCAGGTTGTATAATAAGACTGTGGTAGACTAGAGTATGATTCACCAAAATGGTGTCAATAATTTCATATTGCATGTCTAGTTTTACCACATAGTTAGCACGTCACTAGCCCTGTGCGCGACCCCTCCCTGTCGCGGTTTTCCTCACAATGTTGTTGCTGTTAACGGCCACCTTGACCGTTGAACCACCGCCACAGATCAGGTCGCCTCTACCGCAATAACCCCCATGTCCCCAGCTGCGAAAATTGCCACGACCAAATTTGGTGAAGAGATCATTATGGACATCCGAAGAGGAAGTAGGAGTAGAGTCACCAAGCTATAATTTTTTCTCAAGTGTAACATTCAACTCTTCTGAAAGAAGCCATGCAGAAACTTGATTAGGAATGACAGTTCCAATATTAGTCTTAATATTTTGTTTTAAGGAAGCGTAATTCACTAGGAGGCCATTTAGAACACATAAAGTAATATCATGTTTAGGCATGCTATAATGAGTAGGCATTAGAGATGCAATAATATTAAGAGCACTCTCAAGATAGGTTTGCATATAATCATTGCCCTTATGGAGACTATAAAGGTGTTCTTTCAATTGGAAGATAATGGTGCGAGATAAGGAATTATACTTTTGTTCAAGATTATTCGAAATTACGGTAGAAGAGGGAAGTGTATGAATATGCGTCCAACGAGTGGGAGAAACAATAGCTAACAGACAAACCTCGATTTGAGCATCAACCTTCACAATCAAAGGATCATCCTTTCCTGCTGCTGCGGCTTTCTCGTCAAGTATAAGAGGTGGGACGCTGGTTCTGTTCCATCGACGTAACCAAGAAGACGATGAGCCATGAGATTAACCTGCACAATGGGCAAACACGAAGGATAATTAGTGTCATTAGGTATTGGCCAGACTAAGAGATTACAGCTTCCAGACAAACATTTTGAGATCGATAGGGAGACGATCCTTAAGATCGTTGGAAAAAGTCACAGTGAAGAGGGATCAGCGTTTGGCAGGGATGATGAAACCCTAGCCAAGATAATTTTTCTTTTTTTCGATACTAATGAGGAAGAGGGAGAAGAAGCGATACTATTTGGAATGATATAATAATAAATTTTACTCAAAGAATAAAGAGAGTACATGGTGGTGTGTGTGTGTGTGTGTATATATATATATATATATATAAAATGAAAAATAAAATCATAACAAATGTTAAATTTATTCTTTTGTATAAGAGTATATCAGAATTCCACTAGAATCCTTGAGTCTTAACTCAAGTTCTTCACTTAAGAGTATAGTGGAATTCACATATCAAGGCTTATTATAAAATATGAAAGATTATACTTTCTTCATGGATAAAGCGTTATTAGAACTCATACTTAAAGTTGTTAAAATGATCAATGAATTTGTTTTGTCTCTTATTATTGGTGATTAAAAGGAATATTTGAGTTCTGATTCTTTGTGTCAAGTAGATTTAGATGTAGACATAGATTGTGATGGATAAGGACCGTGTTTTTGAACAGTATCAAATGTTCTAGAATTCCGTACCACAAAATAATTTTGAGGAAGGGAGTCCAGATCATGTTACTGAGAAATGTTGATCAAACATCTTGGGTGTGTTACCAGGTTAATGGTTGAAGAGTTGCAAAAAAAAACATTATCAATGCAATTGTTGTCTTAGGGAAAAATGTCAGGGAGAAAGTTTACATACCAAGAATGAATTTGGTACCGTCTGATCCTGGATGACCATTTAAGCTTCAAAGAAGATAATTCCCAATATTTTTATGTTTTTCCATGACTATCAATATGAGTCAAGGCCAAACATTTTCATTTTTTGGATTATTTTTTACCAAATCAATATTCACTCACGGTCAACTTTAGGTTGTAGTTTCACTACCGAAAACAAATGCAAGATTGAAAGTGTTAGTTTTAGATAATAACGGTAACCCTTGCAACTTCACCAAAATGTGATTTACCTCGAAATTTTTCAAAATATTTAGATTTAAATTATAGATTTACATGTTCTTTTTGATTTATATATAAATGAATTTTGGTTAGCAAATGTTGTGGTATATATCATTCATTAAAATTTTAAAGTTCGATATTATATTTTGCTCGATTTTTAATCATAAGCTAAGAAGAAAAAAATAACTGTGTAAAAAATGTATTCGTTTGACCCCGTGTGTGGCACGGATTGAAATACTAGTATATTTGTATATATGTGTGTGTATATAATACAACTCTTGTACCTAATGTTTTTTGTTCTTTCCCTTCTATCTCAACTTTAATTTTTAAAATAAATTGATTAAATGATATAAAAGCGTACTAATACCTCACATAATACATCAATCTATATGAAAATTAGGGTAAATTTAAATAAATACTCCGTACATAGTAAACTAAAAGTTACAAAAATACTTGGTCAAAGGTCAATGATTTTATGTTGCCATATTTTTGAACTTAATCATTTTTGTTCTTTCCTTTTAATTTCAATCTCAACTTTAATTTTAAAATTAAATTGATTAAACGACATGCTGCATACGGCGGTGCTATAAGACGGAGCTTGACCCGTCACACCCCGTGGCGTCACGCCCCGTCACGACATGATCACCGCCACACTGCGGACATGACGAATGTGGCTTGATGGTTTTCTCAAATCAATCAGAATTTAACACATCTTCACACCTCATTACTTCTAATCACACCCACCACAACACTCATATTTTCTTCACTTCACATAAAATATCTTTACACCCCAACAACCTCGTCATAACACATGGCCTAATACGAAGGCCTATTTGGTGAGTTTTTAATCTAATATGATATGAATTTTGAAATTTATGAGAAATGATATGAATTGCAAAATCAAAAATAAAGTTGGTTGGATAGATTTAAAATTATGATTTAATTAGTGATTGTCGGAGGTCACTAACAACGTGAGAGATTGGTGGTGGCAGTGGTAGCCGGTGGCGAGGGATGGTCAACGGTTGAGGGGAATATCAAATCCTCATATTAATATCTCACAAATATCAACCCCCTCAATTTTGAAGATTTGTAATATTTAAAAAAATCAAATTCAAATTCTTTTTATACATCACAATACACCAAAAAAGAAATCTGATTTCAGGAGATATGAAAATTGATGTCTCCTCCGCTCACCAAATGCATCCTCAATGTTTTTTCCAACAAATAAACTCCACCAAAACTAGTTGTAAGCATTAGAAAAGTTTTATACTCTTACATGTCCACCCACCTATAGACAAGAATTGCTCAAACCTGACATGTGAAAGGACAGTTTTTCAAAATTGGGTAGCATTAAGGTTCAAACTTATGACCTTTTGGTCAATAAGATTCTAATACCTCTCAAAAAGCTTAAGCTTTAGTTGTAA